CGGTGCATGTCTGGAGAAGGGAGGGCATGGAGAAGGCAGAGGACAATGTGCTGATGTGAGCTGCAGTCTGGGCTGCCATGATAATGATCCCTTGCTGTGCCTTAAAGCCTTCAGGTGCCAGCATATGCCATGGGTCATGCTGATGAGTCAAGGGAAATGGGAGGAGGAAGCAAAGGTAGGTTTGGCCAAACTGCTGTCTTCCTTGAGGACACAACATGGTCTAATTTGAGCTGGTGTAGAGAATGCCGACCAGCTCCCAGGAGCCAGCTCATTATTTCTGTGACCCTTGGCTTTGGAAATGGCAAAGTCAAGTGTTACTAAAAATCTCAAAACTCAGTTCTAGAGAACAATAAATAGGAGAGTCTCTTCTGTAATGACAGCCTGATCTTTGCTGTTAGAAAACTAATCACATAGTTTTACACTCTAGCCTTGCCTAATCAAGGATATAAGTTCATTAATGCAAACAGATTCAATAATTTCTTAGTGTTAGATTTTTTAATTATTAAAAAAAGATCAATGTCTTGTACTGCCCATAGATTATGATGGTAATTCAACTGGACTCCACCACATCCATGATATTTTTTTTGCAGAAACGTGTAGCATTTAGGATAGGTGTGCATCTCCATACTTACTCTAGAGATCTCAGGGGCACTACAATATAAGCAGCCATCAGGCATATACTGTAAATTTGTGTGAGACATGATAAGGACATTGCACCCCAACACTCTGATGATCTGTGGAGCCTCTGCTCTGTCCCATAGGAATGTGGCATGGCCAGGGAGGTGAGGGACCATAGGCTGGGCCAGCATGGGCAAGCACAAGTAGGGTGGAAGCCAGACACACACGATAGAGCTGTGTCTGTTGCTCACTGTATTTTAGGGTTGTTGTCCACCTGCTGCATCCAGCAGTGACCTACAGCTTACAGAGTTCAACCTCTAATGTGATTTTCTTTCTCATAAACATCAAAACTTCTCATGAAAAGTGTGAAGTTTCACCTGAAATTAAAGGATACAGAGAGGAAGGCTGGACTGTCCCATGAGTCCACAGAGGAGATAAGGGTCTCAGTGAGCATTTATTCCCAGTTTGGTGCTCTTTAGTGTGGAACCTCAAACTGGCCATTGGTTGCAGAGGCAAAGCAGCAAATCCTTCTTCCTCCACATGTGCAGTCAGGTGGTCCCGCAGGGATGCTCAGAGCATCCCTTGAGTTCTTCCAGATGTTAATGAAGTTATGCTTGAAGCTTGTAGCTCTGTCTTTTGGTACTGGACTCATGACTATCAAGCTCTGATTTTTATGTTGTTTTGTTTTGTTGTTTGGTTTTCTTAAACTGTGGTGTCATTTCCTTCAAAATGAATCTGGCAGGTGATTGCACAGAAGTTTAGAAAACTGGGACTTTCAGACTCTGGACCATTGCAGTAAAGTTTGGCCAACAAGCAGAACAGGGTGTGCTCTTCCCCAAAAATAAGCAGCATCTTTCTGCATGCTGATTTTGACAGAAACCCTGCCATCAGTTTAGGAGTAATAGAGCTCATGTACAGCTCTTTGCCTCAGGATCATACTATGCTCCTGTCAGTCCTAGTAGTCATCCTGTTCACTGCCTGCCTCACAGGAGCAGCAGAGTGGTGACAACAGAGGAGATGCAGCAGCTGTCACACCTATTTACAGTTTCTCAGTCACTGATGTGAGAATAAACAAACATGATATTCCTGCAGTTGCATTGTTAGCAATTTATTTTTAAAATCAGTCACTTGAAAAATATTGAGGCACAGGTAAAATAGCTCTGTCAGCACTTTCTGTGTGTTTTGCAACCTACTGCTTGTCCTGAGAATCTCACTCTGTTAACTTAATAGAAGAGCTAAGGTCAAGGCCACATACTTACCTGGTGAAAGCACACATTTCTCTTCTGAGTGAAGTGGTATCAAGAAGAGCAGTGGCTCATCAAATGCAGGAACATGCTGATTCCTGTCTGCTGTTGCCATTGTATTCACTGATTTTATTACCTGCTCAGTAGTGATGAGTAATTCTCACATGTAAGCAAGTGATATTTACTGTAAGAAAGGCCAAGTAAATTCTTAGTTGAGCAAACATTTAAAGAAATAACAATTAGAGATTGCTTTCCTATTTCATTTGAAAATGTGGAGGAAAGAAATTGAAAATATAAACACTTTGTCTTGGATATCCAAGAAACAAATGGAGAAGTTCATATTTTCCATCATTGCATCCCCAGAAATGTGGGCATGAAACTTGTTGTATTTAGTCAGTAAATCTTTATTGAAGTCAAACAGTGGCTGACAATAGATATATAAAAAAAACAGTAAGTCAAGAGAGTTTATAGGATTAAAATCTGTGATCTGTTTTGGGGGTTGAAGTGGAACAATCCCAGATAAACAGAAGGAGGGCAAGTCCATAATATCCCATGAAGACACAGGGACATGGATGTTGTGCTCTGGTTTTCCTGTTGTCACTGCTTTCCTCCTCCTCAAAGCTGTGGAGGGGACCACACAGAAAAAGCATCTCATGTCAGGATCTGTATGTTTGGCTTGGAGTTGAGTGCCATCATCCCTTGAGTGCACCAGATTGGTTACATGGTCTGATCAGTGCTAATTGCCCCTTAGCAGCTCTCCTGGAGAGACACCCTGGCACAGTGGCAGCTACAGAGGGCCTTTGCAATCAGGCCTGCTGTCAGTGTTCCTAAGTGGGACTTACCTAGCCCTCTGTCTTTGAAGTGTGTGGGAAACAGTGTGGCTGTGTGTGCTTAAAAGCTCAACGTGGATGGTGCTTTCAGGGGCCTGACTTCAGGGCTGTGATGAAATATTTTACCCTTTGTTCTTTGTTCATCTCTCTCACTGCCACCCTGCTTTAACAGGCTGCTGCAGCCTTGCACCTGAGTCACAGCAACATGTGGCAGAGTTTGAGTATCTCTGCTGCCACCTGACCCTCCTTTGCCATGGTTCTGTGTGATGGTACTGTTCCTTTTCTGCCTAGTATCAAATAATGTGAGTGCTGATTTCTGAGAACCACTAAGGATCTATTTATTCAGTAACTTATATTCTCTGTAGAGTCTCATACCTGGATGTGTATGTCGGTGATGTCAGTCTCACTGGTTCAGCATTAGGAGAGCTCTGCCTTTCCCTGGAGACACCAGGTTGTAACTTCCAAAGCATAAAAGTCAGCAGTCAGCATATTTGGTCTTCTTTTTTCTCTCCTCACACTTAATTTTTTTCTAATTAATCAGAAAGTAGGCTTTTGTGATGCCTGGAATTACTGGAACCAGTGCTTCAAGCAGCACAATTCCAAGTCGTCTTTCAAATGTGATGTGAACTGGTTTTGGACTATTTATTTCATATACAGTCTGAGCTACATTTATTTTTGTAGGTCATATTTAACTGTGGCCTATGCTGCCCAAACCATGCACTGGATTTATGTTGTGGGAGCCATCAGCAAAAACCTGAATCCTCCAGAACTGGATTTTTTTTTTTCCTTTTTAATCTGTTTTACAGAAGCCACTAGGTAGCATCCACATGTATTTTTTGAAAAACCTGATACATTCTCAAGGAGACAGGTTGATGGGAACAATTGTTGTTAAAAAGCAGGAAGCAAAGCAGCAGTGGGGGCATATGTGCATTCACGTCATATAAACCCGATGCTGACCAGAGGGAGCCAGCCCTCACCTTCCTCCCTGCCCAGGAAAGCCTCCCAGCGACAGGATGCCACCTGACCCTGTTGCCACACAAGGACAGGGTGAGCCCTGGCCATGGTGCCAGCGTGCAGGAGCAGGTGGCCCCTGTTTGTGAGCCTTGGGCAGAGCAGGGTCCCTGCATCCTGAGGGGCACGTGGGCAAGCAGCACTGGGGGCTGGCACTGCTCTTCTGCTGCCCATCTGCCACTGCCCACCAGCATGAATGCCCCTGTCTGCCAGAGCAGAAGTGCCTTTCACTGAAGAGCAAAAGGGCAATCCAGGAGAGGGGTGTTTGTGACACATTTGCTGCCAGGTCTGTGACTCTGTGCACTGAATGCTCAATGCTCAGAGCAGCTGTGAATCATCGGTGGGAACAAACACAGGCTTTGCCTGCATGATATAGGCATGATCCAGAGGAAACAATGCTGAAAACATTGTGTTACAGCTGTCACATGTGGGACACATACAGCAGAACTGAAAAAAGCCACACAGGAGTCACAAGCAGATGTAAATCCGCTCACTAATATGTCTTGCAGGCAGTGTCAGGGGTGTTTTGGTGATAGCTGCTTCTGCAGCAGAGCAGGCAGCCTGAGTGCAGTGCCCACAAACTGCTCAGAATCCGTAAGTAAAAGGCAAATTAGCTTTGCACAGACCTGTGGAGAGAAAAATATAAGCTGAGGAAATAACAAGCGAGTGATGTATACTCTGCGCTTCACTGAATGCAGAGCAAACTGGAAGTGCTGTGAAGATTTGGAAACTTGAAAATGTTAACCAAAAAAACAAACAATTGTTTTGTTAGGTCATGTTTGGCATTTTCTTCATCTGTTTCAAATGAGGACTATTTATATAATAAATGAACATTTGTATCAATCATCTCATCCATTCTTCTGTATTTCCCTTCCAAATCTCATCTAATTCCAGCTGCCATAGTCTCATCCATTAATCACTTTTTTATTTCAGAGCTGCCTTTTCCCAAATATGTCCTCAGCCTTGTATTTATTTTCACACAAACAGCAAAGCTGCTTTATGGGGTCTTTTCCACAATACCTGCTGAAAACTGTCCTTTTTTAAAGTTGGTAAAATACTGGGCCATGGCTGGACTGCTGATGTGTGTAACAGTCACAACAGCTGGACTTCTGTTTCATTTCCATCTTTGTCCTGTTCCCATTCCTTTATTCTTGGGTTTTTATCAAGACCTTTTTCTCTATTTTCACAGGTTCTATGAGATCCTTATATTTAACTAGAATTGTTACTACCTAGATAGAGTAAAAAAATTAAGACATTTCAAATCACAGATATTTGAATATTCAGCCCACGGACACCATTTTGAAGGATTTTTTAAGCATAATTTTATTCCCATACATAAAGCCATATATGTCTGAAGCTGTCAGTCTGACAGTGATTCTCCCAAAAATGCTCCATAGTCACTGGCTGTTTATCACCCAGCTGCTGTATTCCAGATAGCAGTGCCCTTTTCTTCCAAGCAATGAACTGGGTTACAGAGGAGCCTAACAGCAGCCTGTGTATATCTCATTTTGGGCAGCCTTTTCAGTGACTTCATATCAGGGGTTTAGCCTGAAACAAATAAAAGAACAACCAATTAAAATGACAATCAATAAAGAGACTGTCATTAGTTTATTAATTAGTTTAAGTAACAGAGATAACTAGAGAACAATTCCGAAAGCTGCTTACAGTGCTGATAAATCCTGTTAGTCCTTCAGTTTTAATGCTCTCACCTCAGCAGCAATGCAGTGAAGCTGACAGAAAGGAATCATTGCTTTGTAGATATCCTCATTCGTGCAAATTTCCTTTCACTGAAGCAGTCTGAGTTCCCCTGCTTCTTCATTCGCTGGTTGGGCAGTCCTGCTGAGCACCCTGTGAGTGGGGAAGGGCAGCTTGTTCACAGCTGTTTGCAGCTGCCTGCCAGCATGCCCCTCCTCTTCCCTCAGTGCAGCATTTTTAGTAATTGAGATAAAAACATTCTTGTGCCATCACACATGCATCTGCTCTCAGATCTGGATTCCAAAGCACGCGTTCAGATCCGGTTTTCAGCATCACTGCGTTACAAGGACTCCATTTGCATAGTCCATTTCAGGTTAATCTGATTAGATTTTCACCCTGTCACTGAAATGATGTCTTTAAAAGCAAGGTGGACTAAACATGTATTTTCTTCTTTCCAGGCTTTCCATGATCAAATGATAACTGGTTGTACCTTTTCTGCACCCCCTCACTTCATCTTTTTAACCAAATCCTTTGAGCAACAAGTTCAGGTTACCCAGTAGGAGTTTGTAGGCCATGTGAAAGATGAGGTTGTCTTGTATCTTTCCAACAAGTGCATGAGTCCTGAAGACAAGTATTTCATTCTATGCTGACTCCATGATTTTGGAGAGGGTAGAAAAAGCTTGTGTGGGAGGTATGGATGTCTAGGAAGAGGGAGCTATCACCTTGAACTGAAGTCACCACCTCTGTGTTTTATGTCAGATAGGCTTGGAGTGGTTTGGGTCCAGTTAGTAGTTGTCTGATTTAGAACAATTTCTTTTCACTTTGAGTATCTTTATGGGAAAATGAGGCAGATTCATCATGAATCTACCATTCATCACTTTGTGCCATGATATAATCATCTGAAATCATGATAGAAAACAGCAGTTCATTTTTTATTAAAAATAGATTTAGTCTTCCTGGTAGCTTCTTTTCCTTCATACCTTTTTCACTTGAAAGAACAAGATGGCCAGCAGATGCAAAGGCTATCACTTGGAAAAAGCTTCTTACATGTGTCTTTTAATGCTTGATTTCTGAACTGTGAAGAATAGTGCATCAGTATTGCTTAAACCAAGCATTTACATTTCTACTGTAATGCAAAGCAAAATCATTAAGGTCACAGACTTTGTTCTTTGACATGAAAAGTAACCTTTCCTTATGTTATCCAGCACTTTGTGTAAAAATGTTTGATGTGTCACTGGGAGATGTTGTTAATAGCAACTGAAGCATTTATCTCAGTGACATCATGTCTCTTAATCAACAAAAGATCACAGTAACCTTTTGAGAAATCAGAGTACATCAATGTCCCTATAATTCACTCTGCTAATGTCAAACTTTTCACGTGTAAAATATCTTTGCATTCCGGAAAAGGAAAGAAACATGTCATCATCTAAATTTCAGGTTTAAATGAAGGCCCAAGATGAAAATAATATGGATCAGATAAATATTTTAAGGCTGTCAACTCATATTGGTTCATCTTGTTCTGTCTGTGGATGCCCAAGTACAGTTGGCAGATGCCAATGCTGCATTTTTTTGCTTTTCTGCTGTCATAACAAGAGATCAGCAGGGGTCAGCTGTGCACTTTTCAGCCCCAGAATGCCAAGCAGCCTTTGACCAAAGCCACTGTGTTTTCTGAAAAGAAGAATGAGCATGCCCCTGTATTTTAGCCTCTTGGTGAAAGGTGTTCAAAATCAGCCTTTGGCTTTACTTTTATTTTTCCAGCAGGAGAATAGCTTGCTGTATTTGGAGTTTGTTCAGTGTTGTGAAGCCATTGGTTCATTAGGATTAGTGAAACAAGCTGTAGATGAGCATGATTAAAAATTAACATCAGAATATCACTAGTCCATTAAGGATTAAGGCAGTTTTGGAATTGAAAGTGAGATGAACCCTAGTAATGTTTTAAACTCATTCGCTGATCTTGTGGTGGACACTGAAAATGTGCAAAAACTCCTGAAGAGCTTACAATCAAAGCAGACAAGATAAGGCAAGAAGGAACTTTAAATATGAATAAAAGGAGAAGATTAAAGTCCATAAAGAAAATTAGTTCCACTTTTCCTTTTTCTTCCTCCTTCATTGTGCAAATAATCAGATTTGTAACACAGATCTTGTTGTGACACAAATCCTGACTGGCTGTTTTTGCTGATGTTTCTCTGCATGTGAACAGATTCTGGCTCAGGGCCCATCTTGTTATAAGCCTTCACAGGCCACAGTCAATTGGCAGCCAGGGCTTGGTTCCAAGTAATAGATAAGGGTTTTATCAACACAATCTGGACTATACTTTCCATTGAAAGGTAGTGGTTTATTCTAAAGGCCAGAGTGACCCAATGATATTTCCTCAGTAATGAGTTGTGCACTCTAATGCTTTCTAGAAATTTTATTATTTTTTTCTCCATCAGATCATCAAGAATTGGATGAATTGTTAATTTTCCTTCTTTTTTTCTTATGGTACAACTGTAAGAAGCTTGAAATAGAAAGGATGGGTATTGGTGAGATTTACAGGGAGTATAACTATATGGACAAGGGGTACTTGTGGTGTTCTTAAATCCTCAGTTTTTATACATTCCTCAAAGAGCAAGCACCTTCCCTTTGGGGAAACAGATGGTGCTTGCACTACAGGATTACAGAAGGAAGGGGGTTATGATGGAAGGTGAGAGGTGGAATCTTACTCTTCTGCAAAATCCAGGCTCTGCTTTCACCTTGGAGATGGTGGCACTGGTTTTGTTACCTCAGTGCTGGAGTAATTTAGTGCCTTGTGGGGAAAAAGTGCTGCTGTGGGCAGAGCTGGGATACACAGGTGGGATCTGATCTCTACCTGGTATTTGAAGAACATGTTTAAACTCAGTGGTGTCCCTAATGTGTATGTAGGAATTGGTGTGTAGTCACACCAGGGCTCTGTCCACCCCCAGAACCAAAGGAGTGGGACAGACGTGTTTGTTTCTGTTTCCTATTACTTCTCTATTTAAGCTGTAAGAAAAACAAGCTGACTTTAATAAAAATTAATGAAATGAGCTTCATGACAGCAGTGCTGCAGAGCACCAGACTCAAGCTCCACACTCAAACTCCACTTTAATGAGTTCTCATCCAAGCTGGTAAGACCCAAGCGTGAGAGACACCCTCAGACTGGGAATGAGTGCTTCCCTTTCCCATTACATTCTTTGTAGATCTTTAAACAGAAAGCTGAAGTTGACCAAGGCCCATTCTAAATCTTATGGGGGTCATATCTGAAGTAATCAGAAAAACAGATTTCTTGGGAGGGGTTTGCTCTGGGACAATGGGAAATACCCAATGCATATATGATGTCCTAACAGCTTGCCTTCCCCTGCACATATTTGTGATGCTGCTCTTCCTTCTGCCCCCCTGCCTAGCTGTGTTTGTCTTTTCATCTCACTCCTGTGTTATCCTTTCAGCAGTGAGTGATGATGCAGGAGCCCAGACCGGAGGGTGAGCAGGAGCAGCACACTGCTGCCTCCCAAGCACAGTCAGGAGGGCACTGCTCCTGCAGGCAGAGGTTGTGACAGACACCAGCAGTCTGACAATTGTTCCCCTTCCTGAAAAAGCACAGCACAGTCTGGTTCTCTTCCCTCTGTTGCAGTGGCTGAATATCCCTGTTGGTTGAAGCAGGGTGTTGGATTTTGTGAATATTCTTTGGCTGTGTCTTGTTGGTTTTGCCTGCAAGCGTGCAAACCCTGCAGCCCTCTGAAATCAGTGACATGATTGTGTATGACAGTCATTAGTGGGTGAAACAGAAATCTGTCTGGGAGCATCTGTTTTGAGGGAGCCAAATATAATTAAAGTTTAACCATGCTGCATTTGCTCTTTTATTTACTGGCACCCAGTCCTTCTTAGGGATCACAGGGACATTTCTTGAGGTCCTTCTGAGGGCTTTGACTTGCTACATTTTATCATTGTATGTGTGTTTCATATAAGTGTGTCTTGTATTACAGGCTGGATCAAACAAGCTTGTTCAGAGATTCCCTTCAGGATAATGAAACTACCTTCTTGAATATGTTCAAGTTCTTTCCAAGGGGAATACTTTCTGGTTTCAGGTTGTTCTGAATCTGGACATCTTGCACTGATGTATTGCATTTTATCAGTTATATTTCCACGATGCTCTTTGAGCAACAAGATGGATTAAATGGGGTTTTATTCTGTAATTAATTCTATACACACGACAATAAATATGTAATGCCTTAACTTGGTAAGTGGTACTTGGTAGGATGTAATGCAGGGATCAGTGATGTAGCCTTCCTAGTCAGGAAATGTCTCGCAGCATGGATTCCAGTTTATTTTCATGGGACAATTGATCAGGTATTGAATTGTGCTAGGAGGAGAACACTTAAAGCAGCATTCATGTTGCAAAGATCTTACTCAGGCCTTAGAAAAGCTCTGTAAAATCTTAAGTTCAGCCCTACCAACAAATACATAGAAAACTTTGGTTTTTTCAAATGTTTTAAACTTTCTAACTTGATTTCATTTTATCTTGAGTGAACGTGGTAATCTTTTTATTATGGTCACCTCTGTGTCACCTAATGTGTCTTTTTCCCTCTGACTGTGCTTTCCAAGTACAGTCATTCATATTACACTCATGATTTGCAGGGCACTTCCAAAATGCAAAACTGATTTGGAGAAATTGCAATTACTTTTGAAAAATCTTTCATTTTTATCTGCTATTCCTTTTATTACTGGTTTATTGATTTAGTTACATTTAAAATGGTTCTGTGTAGTTAATTTTAGATATATGTTTCAATTTTACTGCAACTCTGAAACTTTAAATGAGTAGGAAATAAGTAAGGAAATATCCTTAAATAGGAATAGGTAATAAGTTCCCATTCCAGCAGGTAATGAGATACATTTTTGAGGTTTTGTACCGATTTTCAAATAAGCACTGTGTGCACTGCCTTAGGATTAGGTACTTAGCTTCCCATACATTGCCAATGGAGAGCAATAAATGTCTTCTCAAGGGATCTCTTCATGTCCAATTTAAATCCCTAAATTTACCTTTTTTTGACTGGATGGTAATTTTGAGAATATTTTTGAAGAGGCATCTCTGAGGGGGCAAACCAGGTGGAATTAGGCCCTTCTGTAGTTTTTTTTGCTGATGGCTTTAATTGTTTCTTGTGGCATCCACTGTAATAATTCTTCTTTGTGAATTTTCTTCCTGAGCTCTCAGTGCCTCATTGTGTTTTGGATTTATTCATGCAAGACATAGAATGGTGGTGTGGGATGCACAAGTCTCTTGGAGATATTTTTGAAATGAAGATCTTCAATCCAGCATTTCAAAATAGAAATGATTAAAGATGAGAGGAATGCTTGCATTTTTGCAAGTACTACATATTTGCACTGTTTTACTGAACTACTCCCATGCTGCTTTTTAATATTTCTGTTCTGGATTTTTGATGAGTGATGCTCAGCTTGAAAAAGGCTTGAGCTGCAATTCAGGTTCCCTGTGGCTGGGGAAGGTCCCTCTATGGCAGATGGGAACCTGTCAGGCCACTGGGTGAGGGAGAGCCCTCTTTCTCCCCAGCATGCAGAAACTTTCAGAGTGTTACAGTGCTATGTCCAATGACATTTCCTTTGCCTGTTACTTTTCTTTAAAAATTCTCCCTTATCAGGGGCTGCAATAAGCTCTAAGGCTGCACTGAATGATGCAATGATGCAGGGATACCAAACTCTGTTGTTAACTGATCTGCACCTGTCTCAGAGCTAGTGGCTCCTTGGTGAAAATCTGTGTGGATGCTCCAATTTTTGTCTCCTCCATCATTTAATCTTTTTATGGTGCACTCATTGCTGCCTTGATAAAATGA